GCGGATTTAATATCTTTAAAATTACTAAACTACTCCTCCGATCACAATTGATTTCTAATTTATGTACCATGATCAAAAAATTAATGTTGTAAACGTATTACGAGTTCATAAATAATTGATGTTAGTTACATATTTTTTTCAGCCAAAATAACTACGTCTTTTGTGAGTTCATAAAGGTATTATGAATTCATAAATAGTTGATGTAAGTTGTAGACGTTAAAAAAAAAAAAAAAATAGTTGATGTAAGTCACATAGTTTATGACAATAATTACCTCTGGCATCATATATATATATATATATATATATATATATATATATATATATCATGAAATCTCATATTATCGTTAATAGTTTATATGGGAATTAAAATAGGTTAGTGCTAGTAAGTATAAAAAAAATTGGGATTGACTAAATCATAATTTACAATTTTAAAAATCAGGCATTTTTTCTTAATTTTTTTGTTCATTTAAAAAAAGTCATATTAGGGGTGACTTAAGAAACCGTCTTAAAAACTGTTTTTTCTCTCGCCAAGGCGATTTCCCCAAAGGCACCTCTCCGACAAAAAAACTTCCTTTTCAGCATTTGATTCCGGCCGGCGCTGGCTTCTCCGGCGTCGGTCGGCTCTTCCTTTTCCTTTTTGTTCTTATCTTCCCTTTCAATATTGATTTAGGTGATTTCATGACAAATTCAGAATCACAAATCCTCTTTTTTTCCCTCCTTTTAACGATGGTGATGATTGGTACGAGTCCGAGGACTTCAATTCATTACACGGTCTCGATAACGGATCCATCTCTAATTTGCGTAGCGTTACAACACACTCAAATTGTATTCAGATTTTTGTATCCGAGTGTGGCAAGAGTAGCATCTGTTCTTTTCCGTAAAAATTGGAGATTTTCTCAAATTTGGGTCAATCCAATTCCGATTCGAAAGAATCATTATGTCCTTCCGTTTAGAAGGTTTGTTTCCGGTGTTTGCCGGTGGAATTTCCGGTTCTTAACCGGTGAATGTCCTCCTACTCGATGGTATGGAGGTTTCACTTGGGTTTTTGATCCCGGAATCCATGGCGTACACACTTTGCTTGGAGGGCTTGAGATTCTCAGAAATCGTATCGGGTATGGTTCTCAAACAAAAATGGAGGTTTCACTTGGGTTTTTGATCCCGGAATCCATCGGATTCAACTTGGTTATATTTGGGACTGAATACGTTTACGTCGAATACGGTAATGGATTGTTCTCATTCGGCCAATCATCTTGTGATCTCTGGCACGTATCGTCGTGGATGGTTTCTAAGAAACAATGGTGGGAAGAAATAAGAAATAAGAATCTCAAAATCATTCGTATGTGGATAGAATCTCGGAGGATTGAAAATCGACTAAGGAAACCGTTATGGCTGAATGGATTGCAATTTGCGCATCAAGGATTTCAAAGTTTCAGAGATCAAGTTGGACGCAATAATCAAGGAATTCACATTGTAATTGATGCTTTTCCCATTACTTTATCTATGGACCATATAGAACATATGGCGACGACAAATCATTTCCTCCTTGTTATGGTATCTTTGAATCCACAAAAACAAAATCTATGGACTATGACTTCTCAAATCCCACACGGGTGGACTGTTGGTGATGATGATGCTGAGCGTGTTGTAGAATCAATCACATCACAACTTGTTTCTTTAATCAACCGGATATTACGTCGAGATCTATGGTCATTCCCGGTAAGCTATAGAGATTCGCTAAAATCTGGCAAGAAGCTGTTCTCAAAGGATGTTAAGGTTGCAATTGCTACTACGGTAAAGTTATTTGTGATTATGTTGAAGAAAGTTGCAGAGGCTAGATATTCCAGAAAGACTTTGGTACGGAAGCCTTGGTACCATTATGTCTACATTTCAGAGTTATGTTTGGACACATCGGGTTTACAGTTACGGTTCGCAAAAAGAAAGTTCAGCCACAAGATGTTGCATGCAAATCGTAACAAAGAAAAATCAAATATGAAGTTGGACAATAACAGATCGTCTGATCGGTTAGCGAGTAAGACTACTCTTCGGAAAGCATCGTCAATCTCCCTTCTGCTGTATTTTTCTTAGTGTATGGCACATACAGCCGCGTATGTAATAATTGTGTTACAGTAATTCTGTATAATGTCTTTGTAATACTTTTATAATTAATGAAATCTGATTTTGTCGGAAAAAAAAAAAAAAAGTCATATTAGGAAAAGAAACAAAAAAAATAGCATGCATTAAACCGACAAATTTGGCCGATTTTACCGATTAGTACAAATTTTGAACGTCTAAACCGATTTATCTAATATTGGAGCATTCGAAGGTTCATGAATATACGGTGTCTAGTCGCCGCCTAAACTGATATATTTGTTTTGGTTTATTATGCTTCACAATGTTCGCGATTGATCACTTTCGGCGTTTTTTGATATTTACACAACTTTCACGAGTTTGCATTTCAAAAAATTCATAGTCAGTTTTGCCTTCTTTTTTTAATTCCTCGTCGCGATATAGGGTTCACTCAATTTCGTTGTTTTCTTGATCTTACACAATTTTAGAGACATGCGTTTTGAAAAAATTCAGATCAATTTTGCCGATTCTTGTTCATCGCTATTTACGGTTTCGATCAATCACTTCATTGCATGATTTTTTCACATTTTTTACAGGTCATCTTATTTGATTCTTCAATACTTTCGCGAGTTAGTTTCGGAGTTCCACAAAGGAAAACCAATGAGGTCAAAGAACTATCAGAAGATGTTGGGCTTAAGCTTGAGGTCTGCTCTAATTGGATCAATATGCATGTTATTAATACCCATTCATTTTCATAACAAAAAGTAGCTTATTGACAATGATTCCCTCTCAAGTATGTTGGATCATGTGTTAAATATTAGGTATTTTCTTCTCATCTTTAATGGGTTATACACAGGTTGTATCTGCGGAATGAGAAAGCTACATCATTCCAGTCAGTCTAGTTGAAAAGTTCTTTGGTGTGTCTGATCCCAACAGTCAGATTGTTGGCTTCCTCTATGGCTATGAAGAGAGAAAGATCTATTGTATAGTGATGGTGCCACAATGGGAATATCTTCAACACTTTCACGTTGCTTCACCTATCCCTCAAGATCAGATTCCAGATGGCTTAAAACCAATTGGTTTCATACGTACACAAAGTGAAGAGATAAACACTCTGACGCCTTTGGACATTCTCTTTCACTGCTCACAACATTTGGATGAGAATGCCGTGATTGCCACTTTATCTCTAGCTTTAGAAAGGAGTCTGAAGATGTACCAGCTTACTCATGAAGCTTCTGAGTGGGGCATAGCAAACAGAGGCAAAGCATATACCACCATTGACCTGAAGAGCTTTCCAGTTCATTTATGTGACGTTGTTCCTTCTCTTGTCACTTCAAAGGCTGCAGGTCACTTCATGGTGAGTGATATTTTGATGTTTCTGTGTCACTGACATACTATGTGCTAATAAGTTTGAATTTTCGCAGGTTCCTAAGGATATAAGCTAGAACTACAACTTACGTGCCTTCGAGCATAGCGAGAATATGCTATTTGAGGTTGAGCTGGGAGATCCAAAACCCTTCTTTCACCCATGTCATTAACGCTTACACCCTAATAATGTTGGGCTTGAGGTCTGTTACCCATGGAAACTTTTTTTTCTTACTAATCTAGGATTAAGCTTCTTTCTCCAATTAGAACAAGAGAACAGTAATTGGAGAAAAGGTTTTGAAAATAAATAATCCCTCTGAAACTTGCATCATAAATTATAAACTTTCTTCTAATCTTTAATGGGTTTTACACAGGTGGCTGTGTAGGAATTCATACCGGTTTATAACGATTTATAAATACTAATAACGAATTCAATTCCTAGGAACCGTGTAAATAAAGAATTAAATCTAGATCATAGGGTTTGAATATACCTAGATATTCTGCAGCGGAAAGATGAACCATATTGTTTCAAGGTTATTTTAGCACCCCAAGTGTTGTGCAGCTTACTCATGAAGCTCTTCAATGGGGCAGAGAAAACCGAGACAGAGACTTCGCCAGCATTGACCCAGAGAGCCTTCCAGCTCATTTCTGTGACGTTGTTTCTTCCCTTGTCACTTCAAAGGCTGTAGGTCACTTCATGGTGAGTGATATCGTGTGTTGTGATTTGATGTTTTTGTGTGACTGACATATTGTGGGCTGATAAGCTAAGTTTGAATTTTCGCAGGTACCTAAAGGCATAAGCTGGAACTACAACTTGCGTGTCTTGGAGCATAGCGAGAAGATGCTATTTGAAGTTGAGCTGGGGGATCCAAAACCCTTCTTTCATCCGTGCCATCAGCCCCGGATCGGGCCCGAGGGAAGGAAAGAGAAGGAAAGGGAAGGGAAGGAAAGAGAAGAAGAGGAGCAGATAAAACTCGGAGGGATGAGAAAAGGAAGAGGGAGCACCCAGAGAAGAGAAAGAAAAAAACTCAAACCTTCTTGAACGTTTTTTTGTTTCGACACTTCAAACTCCACCTGTAATATTTTTTGGGATCTCTTTTAGTCTCATGTTAACAAGAATCGATTCAAATTCTCCCCATTGTAGGCTTTACCCAACAATCATCATATGTCTCGACCTATTTGCTACTATTGTGAGAACCGTTGTCCACAAAAAATAGTTATACAGTCCTCTCTGGTTTATTTTTCTGTTCCATAATATGTCATCGTGAGATGGTGTTTTTCGTGATCCGGACTCACCAAATAAGCAACTGTCCATTCTATATGTAATGAATGCTTTATGTACTGTTTCAAGTATTGCGTCTCCTTCATATTATGTTATAACATGTTCTGTCATATACATAGCATGTGTGTTTAATCTAAACCTTGTTACAGCTTTATATAGACATCCACAATCACTGCAACATTTCAGAAAAGCCTCTCCTGGAATAGTAAAATCTTTGTGATATAATCTCAGACTCTCAGTTCTATCACTGATTCATTTTTGCAGCTTGAATATGGAAGACATTATGGGAATTCTGAAGGATATACAAAAATTTATTTCTCTTAACAGATATGGCAATTAACAAGAGGAAGTGTGGTTAGTAGTAAGATACTTTGTTATGTACATTAAGTGGGAAAATGTAGAATGACTCTAGGCTTAACTTACTACAAGCAGAGGAGTGAGTAGAAGACAAGAGGTATAAAGGCATTGTCTAACTGTGCGGTGTAAGCTTCCAACATCCCGGTGGCTGTCACAGCCACCAGAAGCGACCACCATCCTTGACTTAGTATATAACCCATTGATGCTAATATTGGGACCAGTACAAAGCACACTGCCATCACCGATGTTATTCCCGCTGCTGTTCCTTCAACCGTTTTCTCTGTTCCGCAAACATTTTTTACGCACTTGACAATATTAGTTTCCGATGAAAGCAATAGTTGAGATTTTTTTAAAGAAAATAAAATGCTTACTTCCTGTCTTGCTCCATCTCAACACCCCATATTTGTGACCAACCATCGATGCCTGTAAAGCAAGAACGTTTGTCAGACAGAAGCCACTCTGAGTGAGCTTATAAACGTTACATTGGAAGACCTAAGCTTACCATTGTATCTCCAATTCCTAGGCTGAGAATTCCGGCAAATGGGGATAAAGCTCGGTCATTGAACCCAGATGACATCCAAATTGGAAGCGCACATCCAAGCAAGAGTGAGAAGTGGCTACAAAAAAACATAATATAATCAATGGTTATACAAACCAAACAAAAAATGTGATAAGTCTACACTGAGTTTTCCCATCCATGGTCTAAACAGTTTTGGCATACCTGACAATCAGATGCTCTGAGTCACGATGGTCCGTGAAAGCATTCATGAATTGATGTAAAGGTTCTCCAAGCGGCTGAATTCTCCAGATCTGGTTTGCAAAATGAGTATCTTGCATTAAGACCATTGAAAACAATGAAACCTAGAAGGTGAGTTATTTCAAAAGAAGGGAGCTTACTCGAATGATCTCCAATACAACAAATACTGCCAATGCTGCACCAAATGCTAGATCGAGAAATTTAGGCTGAATGAAAAGATGTGGAAATTATAAGAAGCGACTAGAGGAGCAGACTAACACATACGGGTTTCCAGAGAGTAAAATTATAAATTATTGACCACCAGTCACCTGTAACACAAGAGCTGGCAAAAACATTAAAACAGCCATCAGATGGTAGTACTTCCGAAGCAAGATTCTCTCAACCTTGCTATTCCTCGAGATGTTATAAAATCGTGAGACAGACACAACGATCAACAGAACCCAGTAGATACATAATGAAAGTCTCTTCAGAGGTTCAGAAAAGACAAATGTGAGTACCCTGCGACAGAGGAGTATTAAAGTTGGATACAATCTTAGCATGTGGAAGTTACTGTACAAAGGATCGCTACCGACGCTGAGAGGACAAAAGATAAGTAACTGATAGTAGAGATTAAGTACCATAAGAAGGGATGCTGGTCGAAATCGTGTACAAACTGCATCCAAGAAGGAACAGCCACGATAATAAAAAATAGAAGTGAAACAAAGAATAAGATAGATTTTGCAGTAACACTGCAGTTTCTTTGTCGAGCATCTCTCTTTCTCAAGGAGCTTTCATATATATGCAGAACGATTCTAAACACTATCGGGAAAAGTAGAAGGCCCAACAGCAGACCCTGAGAAGGAGACAGGTAAGTTGTTATGAAGCAATACAGTAAAGGATATTCTGCATTTACTTTCTATTTATTATTATGATACCTGGACGATTATGCCAGTTTCAGTCCTCCTTATTCCATAGCTTATTGAGACAAGATCTACAGGTATCAATTTCTCGAAAATCTGTAACAGACATCATACGAAAGTTACAACAACGAAATTACGGAGCCATTTTTGCGAGCATGCAGTAACCAATGAAAGCACAAAAATGTGTGACCTGTTCAAAGATTGAAAATTAAAGTATTCTAACCTTAGCAATTGTGCATGCCAAAAAGTCGCCAAAATATAGAACAAGACCACTAGTCACAAGAAGCGCTTCCCCTATAAAAGTGGCAATTGTTGAAGGTGAACTAGAAATATGTGGAATCAAAAGAGTAATGTTTTAATTGAATCCAGGGTTCCATAGAAACAAAACCATTTCATGACTGCCAAAGTGGCTCTATGAACAAATTGTCTAAAAGAGATATGTTGAAAGCATACAACCAAAACTACTACTTAATTCAAGTCGTGAATAGCATTGCATTACCGATTGAAGCACAAGAAGGGAAGGTGCAAAGCAAATGTTGAATTAACTTCAAAGCTGCAAGGCCGTGAAATAACATCCACAACATTTTCAATGAAGTATTCAAACCTGTCGAGATAAACAACAGACAGAGGTCACCAATGGAAACCAAGCAACACAAAAAGACATTAAAACAACTAATAACCCAAAACTTGATCTTACCAGTGTGTGAAATCATGGAAAGTGAGACAAAACATGCTACTCCATACAACACTGTCCCAGTCAAGCTAACTCTCATAAGCCAAACAGACGACGATGACAAAGATTCAGCATTTCTCGCTTGTGACATAATCACTGATAGATATATAAGTATAGCACAACAACTAGCCGATGCTGCCCAATACTGCATTGTCACATGTGCAAGCTCTACACAACAAATCAAATCAAAACATGTTTATGATTTAAATACTAACATTAACCCAATACAAAAGCTGTGAAAGTTACCATCTTGTTCAGCTTCATGAAATGAGATAGCTCTTGAAAGCTGAACTAACTTAGATATCATAACAGAAGGAAGTGTTACAGCTCCTAATAATATCCCTGAAGAAGCACCACGTCTACAATTTTCGAAAACAACAAAGACAACTTCTTCAATCTCATTACCAATCTGATATAAATTCAAACAAAAGATTGAATTTTTCTTGATTCTGAGATCGAAATTATGAAATTAGAATGAGGGTATTTCACCTGGAGCTGAAACGAGAGAGAAGAAACGGAGAAGTCTCGGCGCGGATCTCGACGAGGAAGGCGGAGAGAGAGAGGAGGAAGAGGGAGAAGCCATGGGAGATTAGTGATAAAGGGAGAGATAAGAGAATACGAGAAACCACGACTGCTACTACAACTCTCTCTCCTGTTACAAACGACGTCGCCGTCGTCTTCATCGCCGGAGATGATGATGATTTCGCCGGAGATTTGTTGTTTTATTAAGGCGCGATTGTTTCTTGTTGGTTTGTTGTTTTATTGGGCCACCAACAAAACGTGACTTGTGTGTACTTGGGCCCACGAAACACGGTTAGGCACGGACTTTAAGGTCACGCTTAATTTTCCACGTGATAATAAAAGTCAATTTGATCGGTTGGTTCGGTTTGATTCGGTTTAGTTACGGTTATTGAAATTAGATTTTTTAGTCCGTTGAGTGAGACTTTGTGAAGATAACACAGGTAACGAAGTGATGAGAAGAGAGAAATGATAATTCCTCTGTTGTGACTTTGTGATGGAGCTTAGTCTCAAGCTGCAATCTTTTTCATTCCCTTCGTCAGTTTCAAGTAAGCTGAACAAAACCCTGATTCTCAATTTTGTTTGTTTCGCCGTTATCTGAAATTTGGATGTACCATTTATTGGATTTGACCTGAGAAATTTGACGGGAAAAAGCAAAAATTTCTTGATATTTCTGATGATGAATCGAGTTAAAGCATTTAAGACAATCTAATTTAGATAAATTTCGAGTTTGGGTCTTAAATTTGTTTGATCTTCTTAGTTTCTAATGGAGCTTGGAGCAGTTCAAGCTTTGGTAGTTACTTACTTTAGAGTGTTTTATTACATGGTGGAATTAAGGTTCAATTGTATTACGACGAATTAATTAAGTTTCATGATTTTAATTTGTGGATTCATGACTAAACACTACTGTCTGATTCATATTAGCTTTTAGCCTTGACCATTTCACTCACTTTTGAGGTTTTGTTTTTTGTTTTTGAAGGTGTTAACAATGCGAGGTTCTTAAAGACGGTTTCTTTGTTCGATTTGAAATCATCACAACATAATAATGCTAAGAGATCATTAACAGTGACTCCTGCTTTAGCTGAAACAGCTGTTTCTATAGCGATTGCAGCCACGGTTGTTGGTACTGCAGCAACTATCCTTGCACGGAGAAGTTCCAAAGCCGCTGAAGAAGCCGAGGTAGTTTGTTTTAGTATATATATATGATCCATGAATACAATCTACATTGGTTTTTCTTGGTTAAACTTGAGGATCATTATTGTTTAAATCTCGCTGTGAGCTGAGTTTCAGGCTTCTACGAAAGAATGTGAAGCTTGTCTCGGTTCGGGAATCTGTCCTGAATGCAAAGGTGAAGGATTTGTACTAAAGAAACTATCAGATGCAAATGCTGAGAAAGCAAGACTTACAGCTAAAAATATGGCCACGCGATATACGGCCGGGTAATAATAAACTCCCTCATTGTTCTTCCCACTTTTTTCTTGAATTGATTCTCAAGTCCCATCAAACACACATTTTACAGGCTTCCCAAGAAATGGAGCTACTGCACAAAATGTTCGTCCACACGATCTTGTATAACATGTGGTGGGAGTGGAAAGACAAGCATCTAGCACCTTACGCAGAGTACACAAGTACGTTTAACTCGTTTTATTTGGGAACCCAATTCAATATTTTAGCATAACTTTCTTGTTTTGTTTTAATTTATGACAGACTCTGCAATGTTTGAAAAATTCTCATCAAACTTTAGTTTTATATTTTCAAGATTCATGCGTCATACTTTCTTCTTACTCTTTCTAGATTCTTTTAATGCGATATGTTTCTTAGACGTAAAGATTACTAAAGTCAATTTCTTCTTCTTTGGTCTTTGTTTGTATCGCTATGACGTCTCTCCAAGGAAGAAAGGTTTCTTCATGTAGACTAGTTGCGCCTCAAAACACTCGTCTCATTTTCAGTATTTGATCTATTTCTTTAAATTAGTAATATGATCTTGGAAGACTTTTAAATGTTGATAAAACAGAGAGAAAATTGATGCATAAGCCTTATATCAAACGGCATTTTACATCACGAGCACCGGGCTCACTGAACCTCACTTATTAAGTCAGGATCTTACTCGGTACATCTTTCATAAGAGGAACATAAAACAAGGAAATATAAAGCTAAGTTTGATGGTTATTTATATGTGGAAAAAGATGTGATGTGACTATCCTTCACTAGACATGAGTCGGAGATCCAGTTTCCGGCGTTGGAATATCAGCCAACATCGCCTTGCGGCCTCTCTCTGACCGGCTGTTTTCAGCAAACTTAATGCTTCCCTCGTGTAGCCCTAAGCTCTTCTCTTCCTCTGTCCATTCCGCTCCATAGTAATGCTCCTCCTTTGATATCTCTCCGTCTTGCGATGGCCTCAAGAACATGCTTCCCCACTGCGGAAAGTGTATAAACGCAACCGGAAGGGAACACACAACAGCCATAACACCCATCAAGGATAGTCCTTCAGCTGTACTAAACCTCGATGAGGAGAAGAAAAGAAGTTGAGTAACTCCCGACCCGAAATTTCCTCCAGCACCAGTCAATCCAGAGATAAGCCCAAGAGAACGGCGAGAAACAAAAGGGGCAACACCAAAGAGAGCTCCACAAGCCGCTTGTGTGCCGATGGAAAAGAGCATCATGGCTAAGATAGCTATAGGGAGTGAACTAGCGCGACCGAGCCAAATACCAAAGAGAGCTCCAACAGTTTGTAAGATCCACAAGATCCATAACCGGCCCCTCATACCGAAGAGCCGTGCAGCTACATCTGAAGCATAGCCACCAAAGGGACGGGCAAAGAAGTTTGCCATACCAAAGCTGGCTGCTATAATACCAGCTGTGTGAAGCGTAAGGTTAAACCTATCGTAGAAGTATCCAGATATAACGTTGTTGATCGTTAATTCAACTCCCATAGAAAATCCATAGAGCATGAATAAGACCCATGTTCTATAGTTTTTCACAGCGAACCAAAATACCTATTAAACAAAACAAAATGTAATTAGAACCACTTACTAATATTATCTTAATTATTGATCATGTTTAATATATTGTTATTATTAATTACCTTGGAGAATTTGTCTTTGGAAACTTGACCACTCTTTTGGAGAGTACTAAGGTTACCATCGGGAAGATCTTGGCCGAGAGTAAGAACAAGAATACCCATAATGATCTGAAGAATGCCGGGGATGAAGAAGGCGAACCTCCACGCCGTGAAGGCAGTGGCTCCGGTGAGTTTGATGACGTGGAAAACCATTGGCATGAGTAGCTGAGTCACTCCTCCTCCCATGTCTCCCCACCCTCCAGCACATCCGTTAACGAGTCCGATAATCTTTCCAGAGAACATAACGCTCGTCCAGTACTGGCATGATACGAACGTCGCTAAGCAAAAACCGATCATGAACCGAACAGCTAAGTAACTTCCCGCATCAGCTACGAACGACATGGAGAAAACGGCTGGAGCTGTAAGCATAAGAGAGAAAGCGGTCCCATAACGTGCTCCTAGAAGGTCACATACGGCACCCATAGCTAGTCTTGAGAAAATGGCGCCGGAAACTGATGCTACTCCGGCATTTCCGATGTCGGTTTTGGTCAGGTTGAGGTTGTCGCGGATCACGGGGACTAGAGGTGCAGCTGCGAAGGTGGAGATGAAGCAAGTGAAGAAAGAGATCCATCCTAAGTGGAAAGCTCTCATGTGTGGTTTGGCGAATGATAATGGTTTGAACACTTTTGCCCTATGCTCGGAGTCCACTGGTAAGGCGAACTTAACCGTTGGATCGTCTGATCGGACGGCTTGAGACGAAGGACCATCTTCTTGGACGGAGAAGGAGAAGACTTGTTCCCTTGCCGTGACTCCATGCAAAGAGGTTCCAATAGAGCCGTCTTCATTAGAATGGTTATGAGCCATTGATCTTTAGTTCAAAGAAAATGGGAGAAGTTAAGAGAGAAGAGACTTTAAACAATGAAGAAGGTTTTCTTCTTCTTTGTCGCCTTTGTTGTTTTCTGTTTTTGGTGTAAGTTGGAGAAGAAGAGTTGTCTAGTATTTATAGAGAGATGAATACTCCTTTGGACATTATGGGTAACGTTAGGTGGATCCAATGATAACATTTGAATAATACTACGTGAAATGAATAATATATCCTCCATATATTATTTTTGGTGATTTTATTAAGAAAAGTGATGGCATGTCGCAACTAAGTTGATTTATTATATAAAAATATATGACATTGTTTCGTAAAAATATTGCAGAAATTTTCATTAGAAAATAATTAAAATAGAAATAGAAATATGTTTAAATGTTCATGTAAAAAATTTGCTATTTAGAAGAGATTCGTAAAAAAAAAATTTCTCTGTTATTTGATTGAAAATGAATAATATAATCTTCTAATTTCAGTTGATGCTCACAAACAAATTAATAATATCTAAACTGTGAGGACTTCACATATATATTAATATTATTAACTTTTTTTCTTAACACTTGACTTTATTAATATTATAACTTATCAGAACTTATTTATACATATAGTGTCGAGGGCTCCATAATTGTTCACACGGAGAAGAGAATATCCTATTGTAACTAAGCATATGTAGTTTACACATAATGCAAATTACGTGCTCCATTTACTATTAGTATTAAAATGTTTATAACTTAATGATGTCAATACATTTCATTGATTAATTACTTGTACCATAGTATATCTCTATCAAGTCAAGACATTTATGGCTTTGCATGTCAACCCCTTATCGTGATACTGATACATGATGTATCCTTTTTATAATTACCAATCATAAAAAGCGATATCAAAAACATTACTAAAAGTATTTATTCAACTTTTTTGTATAGTTTTCGTATATCACTTTTGTTTATAGTTTTATATTATTCTGTAACAATATCCCTCCAAGTTAAATAACTCGCACAGTTTTTATTTTTAATCGAATGGAATATTACGTACGAATGGAATAAATTCAGTAGAACAACGTGTCTCTTTCACCGCCGGCTTAGCGTCCATTTCGTAGCTAATGTACAACATGTGTCTACCTAATGCATGGATGTTTCCAGCTACTATAATAGTATTATTTAAAAATATTATTTTATTTTGTTTAAATTTATACATTATATATAAATATAGTAACTTTACATTAATATCTTCGATCGTCTTTTTTGTTTTGTTAAAGAGTCAACAAAGTACAAGAATATCTTAATAGAGAGAATAGAAATACAAATGTTTGACACTTTCAACCAAAAGGTCAAAGAGAGTTATGAGATCGTACGGTTCATTGTAGAAACTTCATTCTTTTAAAAATAATTTCAGTTTTGTCATTTGTGTATTCTACGTAAGGTAAGGTCGGGGGCAGTTGCCCCCCCCCCCCCAAATTTTCAATTTCCTTTTAAATGTTAAGGATTTAATTAAGTTGCTCCTTTTGGAAAATATGTTTTGCCCCACGTAAGACAATCATTTCTCCAAACCAGGGTGTTAATTACGGCATACTCGCCGTATATCGGTACCTTACGCTATACGCTAATACGGCAGACTATCTTACTGTTTTTAAAGCTATGCGTTTAACAAATACGGTTGAGTTCAATACGGCCACTTATACGGCGCTATACGGCATTATACGGCTCAATACGGTCATTATACGGCGTTATACGGCTTAATACGGTCATTTATACGGTGCTGCTTTATATAAATACAGTTGTCATTATGTTTTCATTTTTTTTTAGAATTGGAGTTTAACTGAGACTTCTTTTTTTTTTTTTGACAATTGTTTTTTTTAATGATATTAGATATATTTGCAATATATTTATATTATATATATATATAATCATATATAAAAATATATTCACCGTATATACTCCGCATATATAGCCGCATATACAGTTAGGCGCTATACGGTAATCCACCGCCCGACTACCGTCTAGCGTATTTTAGAACACTGCTCCAAACTTAATTAACTTTCCATTATTTCTATTTTTACTAGGCCATTTATTATATTTCTATTAGCAATATCGTGATTCTTTATTTGTTTTGAAAACACTAAACATTATTTCCTTTTACATAAAATTATATTTTTTTGCTTCAACGTAACTCTTTGATGGACAAATCAATGTTTTGATGCAAAATATTTAATGGATTAAGAATAACATTTTTCTTCTTAAATCTTTTGAATATGATTATCTATTCATAAGTGAAAGAAACACTTCTATGCTTCAAAAAAATATAGTATATGTCTTTCGTACCATGGAAACGTTTATTTTGTTTTTATATAGTGATTTTTGTTTGAGTTTTAGTATCTTTTGTTTTGTTTTTTAATTTTTTTTTAGAGTTGTTCTTTAATTTTCCTTGACCCTATATACAAACTATATTGTATAACGTACTTACAAGAAAAATTAGTTTAGTTAACAAATTTTTTACATATGATTATTGTTTGCCTCCGATAAAAATTTTCATAAATCCGCCACTGATCCCTTGCATGTGGTCGACTCATCAAATTAATTTAAATTTTGGTAAACTTCAAGTTATATCAAACTTTATTCAAAAATTCATGGACAATTTTTTGTTTTCAGTTATCCAATAAGATATCAAAAATTCGTGATCTTTATTTATTTTGAGGGGTTTTCAACTAGCTCGATCATTTCTTATTTTGAACGTAAACTTATATTTAAGAGAAACTCAAATTGCAGAAATCAAAATTTTGGCAACAAAAGAGCTAACGAAGGAACAACAATATTAGAAAGTTATCAAATGAATTGTT